AGAATTGTTGGCCTTTCTTCGAATTTAGCGCCTCGTTGTTAACGTTTAATCTATTTTTGAAGTTTTCTCGGATGCTTTCGAGTTCTATATCAGGTATTCTTTTTTTTCCTGATGGTGTCACTCCTAACATTGGCATGGATGTTTAATCTGAGGGATGTTTTTCTCGCCAGATATTATAGGCGGCTTTGTTCGTTTTTGTCGTCGTCGGATTTATCGTAGCAGTGTAAAATGCCATTATTACTTCAATATACTCTTCCCTAGATCATTTATTTATTGTTCTTTTTGTGGGATTTTCTTTTAATGAATATAGAGGGCCTCTGTGAGTACTGTACCCGGCGTGGTTTTCTTCTAGTTCTCGTTGGGTAGAGTTTATTCCAGTTGCAGACTTTTCGATCCCAGTCTGGTTAACTGGGGATCGCTGTCCTTGTTGACCCGCGTGACAACCGATGCGGTTTAGCAATATTTTTCGTCGTTTCAGCATTATAGCATTATAGCATTAGTTCGTATTTACCCATACGTGAGCGCCAAAACATATCCATAGCATTGTGGACCATCACGTTCAGGGGGCCAGCCTCCTCCTGCTTTTTTTTTTTTTTACTGCTATTATTAACATCAGTAAAATCTTCATTTATAAGTGTTTGGATCCCAAGGAAGCCCAACGTGTTTCACGAAACTCCGATATAATTTCAATTTTCAACGGAATTTTCTTTGACTTTTTCCTTTTTTTTTTCTCTCTTGCGTTCAATAATATGAAACTATATTGAAATCTCCCTAAACCTGTTATTACACGATTATATTTTGCTCATAAATACATTTAATAGATAGATACTAATAATATTTAAAGCAAAGTTTATTATAAGTGTTTATATTGTATAGCTCATGAAATAAAAATTGTATATCAATTACTAATAAATAACAAAAGACTATTAAAAAATAACAGAGAAGTCACTATCATTGCAATCACCACCACCGCCATCATCACCACTACCACCATTACCAACATTACCACCACTACCATTACTGCAATCCTTTTTATTTTTTTCTTCCTATTGATAATAAGGGTCTAATAACTATTCGATACTGTGCACGAATCAGGTAAAAAAAGAACAAGATATGCGTCCAAAATTACTAAAACTAGTAGGTACCAATTCAACAAATAATATAACTACCTACCAAGTCTACGGGAAGACCTAACGCAGGTGGTCGTGTATTGTTATGACTACATTTTATGATTTGTTTTTCTACCTCCCATAAAATTACTAGCGTTACATGGATAAAGTTCTTAGTGCGTGGGCTGGACTTATGAAACCATTTTTTTTTTTTTGTATTATTCGTAAGCTGGGATTTCCAGGGATCTTTTTTAATGTGTTGTGTTCCATTTTTATCATTCCAAGCACACCTACTATGACTGGTACTATTCTTGCTTTCAATTTCCACATTTGTTTCTATTTTGATTTCCAGGTCTTTATACTTCGATAAGTTTTCAAATACTATGTTCCAGACCTCTGGGCAAGCCATATCAATTAGTAGGCAAGTTTTTTCATTTCATTTTTTGATAATTGTGTCCGACCTATTTTCTTTATTCTTCCTGTCTTTAAATATGGTGTAATCCCATAGAATTGTGATATCTTCTATTTTTCTAGCTGGTTCTGGGTGATATTCATACTACTGTTTATTAACATCTTTTCTCAAGTGTTTGCACATAGTCCAATGTAAGTAATGCTCCACTCTATCGGGACGAATTTTATATTCGTTTGGCGCAAGTTCAAAACATTCTGAAATTAGATGTTCTATGGCTTTCTGATATTTGCTACAGAACCTGCATTTTGGATTCACACTATTATGTATGCCATTTGCTTGAAAGTTTCTAGTGAAAAGACTCTGGTCTTGCGTTGCAATAAGAAAACCTTCCATTTCAGCCTTTAATCCGGATGCTCGTAATCATCGCTGAGTGTTAACTTTATCAACGTCGGCTTTATTAGCATGTTCTGGATATTGGCCATGCAAAGGTTTTTCTGGTCAGCGTTGTTTCATATCTTCAAGAACTTTATCCTTCGCTTTCTTTTTCATATTTTTTGCTGAAACACTTGGTTCTTGAGTTCTGTTTTGGTTTTCTACAGAATCTACTAAATGTAAATCTCGTTTGTATTTACAAGCTTTTTTCATGATTAAATATTTTTTTCTTTTTGTTTTCATGTTATATGACTAATTGTATCATCCAGTCCTTTGTTGTCTCCATGTATGTTAGTAAGCCAAGAGTTGCTGTCTTGTATGACAATTATAGCCGAATAAGGTTCTTCCACTTTCTTTATGTGGTATGTATAGACGGTCTACATCAACCTTTGGATGGTTCATGTTATGCTTAGAAACAAGCTTTCTTGCTTTAGAATCCATTTGTATGATATCATTTAGAATCCAGTCCAATATGTTGAAACGATATTAAACCACTGGGATGACAAGGCTATTAATAGCCACAATTCTCTTCCTAGAATTCAATTTAGTTCTTAACATCAGTCGGAACCTTCTATTGTACTCTTTTCGCATAATTTCTTTAATTTTTATGGTGAATTCTTTCATCCTCATTGACACCGATGTGCTTACAATCTTCTTCTTGCTCTATATTGTTACCCCAGGGTCTAAGCTAATGAAGGAGGTTTGCTGTAGTGATCCCCGTAATATTGTGGCTTTAGCACATTTATCGAAACCAAATTCCATTCCAATGTCATCACTGAAACATTTTACTATTTTGAAAAGACTTTCTAGCTCACTCTCATTCGTAGCATAAAACTTTATGTCATTCATGTAAAATAGATGGCTTATTTTCTTTTAAGATATCTTATAGCCATATTCCGTCCTGTTAAGTTCGCTGTTATTAGGATGCTATTAGGAATATGCAAAATAGTAAGGAAACAAAAGTCACATTAAAATATTCCTCTGTTGATGTTTATTTCACCAGACTTATAGATTCTATTTATATGATTGAGTTGAAGTGTTGTTTTCGATATTGACATAATTTGTTTGATGAATTAATGATGACGCGTGGTACCTTGTATATATTTAAAGACTTTAGGATCCAGGAATGGCTTACACTATTGAATGCCTTACGGTAATGTATCCGGGCAGTACTGAGATTTTTCTTTGTATTGAAGCAGTTTACCAAGAAAATCCTATTAATAAATAATTGGTCTTTACATCCGTAAAATCCACGTTTGAATCCTTTTTTCAAGCGGTAGTATATCATTTTTTAGAAGAAGGAATATGTCTGTTTTGTCAGAATAGATGTCAAAAGTTTGTAAGTAGAAGGAAGACATGTAATTGGTCTGTAGCTTCTTGGGACATTTACTTGGGTTGAAGGAAGGAAATTACTTTGGTTATCTATGCAGGAATTTTAGTATGATCATTGACCTTTTTCTTGAAATTCTTTGCCTAGTTTTTTGTGTGCTGTATTTAGATAATAGTGCTAAAAGTTAGGAACTTTATCTATTCCTCGAAATTTCCAGTTGTGTGATTTTTTTCAGTGCACATTCAGCATCCTCTTCTGTGATTCGCGCCTATGTTTGTTCTGGTTTATTTTTCATCCGTTCTACCTATTGCGTAATCCAATCGACTTCTTTGTTATATTCTTTAAAGCAAGCGCATATTTTTCCCAGAACTGTATAAGCTCTTCCATTGTTTGGAGTGAGAGTTTTGTCACTTCATTTTCTTCGCATCAGTTTGAAGATCTTTTTCTTTTCATAGCGTCTGATTCTTTGAGCCTTCAATTGTATTGTTTGCTTTTTTTTCCTTTAGATGATAAGATTTCATTTACATTCCTAATTTTGTATTTTCTTTTGACTTTTCTGCCTTTTCCAGTCTTTACATTTGTTCCACTTGCCAGTTCATCTAATTTGTTCAATTTTTTTCTCTATTTTTCTTTTCCAAGGTGGACCTTCATGTCTGTGAGATTTACCTGCTTTTTACTTTGATGTTTAATTTTTTTAGTTGCTGCTATTGCTGATACATATATTGCTTTGTTGAGACTTATATGTCAGTCTACTTCATCCAGAATTAATTTGAGTGCAGCATTGTAGAGTTTAATAGTTTTGAGCTTCTGCTTTTTTTAGTTTTAATTTTAGGAGTTGTTCTCGTTCATCCATTTCAATATTTTTTGTCTGATTTATATGTTTCATGATTTCGTTTTTGGATTCTTGTATACTATTTTTGTTTTCTATAAAATAATTCGCTTCAATGTGTTTTAGACTCGTTTTATTGCAGGTTTGTGAACGAATAAAATCAAGCCTTTCTAACTTTTGAGTATTATCTTCACATTGATTGGCGTGTATTTCAATTTCTTCAATTATGATCTGTGCTTTTGTAATGTTAGTACTTTTATGTCAATTTCTGGTTCGCTTTCATCATCTGTTGATTCACCAATTCTGGTTACAGTTCTTTTTATTTCTTTTAATTCAGCATCTGTCAATCGTTTATTTCTCATGATGTTCCTTCTTACATTGGCAAGTTTATTTTCATCAGCGTACTTTCTAATTGATTGCCCAAACTTTTCTCGCCAAATGTCATATGTTTGGCGAGTGATGTTTTTCTGGGGTTTGTGCAAGTCATAACGAGTTTGTATTCCTGGAACCATTTTAGCTTTTCATTCTTTAAATGAATGGTTGTAGGTCTAGCTGGAGAATTCACAGGGCTATCAATGGGATTATCCCGGTTGTGGGGACCTGAAAATTCATTGTTTTTGTAGGAGTTTGCTTATCTACTGGAAGAGTTATACCAGACTTTTTGGCTTTCTCATATTGTTCCCACGAGTGAGGCACGGTTCCAAAAGTCCACCTAAAGTCGACCGGCACATTATGTAACGGTCTTTTACAAACAGGGTTCCGAAGCCTGTAGAGGATCTTTCGCGACCTCATAACGCAACAGCCATTCAATCCTCAGCACGATTAACACCTTCAGAGTTATCATGAGAAAAAAAAAAAGGAAAAATAGGTAATCAATCAATAGGATCCTTATCCATGCGCATACACGCATACACAAACACACACAGATAGATAGATAGATAGATAGATAGATAGATAGATAGATAGATAGATAGATAGATAGATTGACAAAGATATATTATGTCGAATTAAAAAGCATGGAAGGTTCCTGCTGGATGTGTGGAAAAAAATTGAAAATATAGATAAAAAATAAAAGTAATATAAGAATAAGAAAAAAAGAAAATTAAAATGAAAAAATTAATTAAGGAGACTTAAAATAAAATTAAAGAAAAGAAAAATGTCATTTCAAATTGTATAAAATTTCGCATAGCTTACATTATTTTTTTTATTTTTTTCTTTGATTTCTGGCGTTTACATATTTCTTTCCGGGTCCCGTCCAGGGACCTATGGTTAGAAATGGCATCATGATACTTTCCACTGACAAAAAAAATTACATAGATAAAGCCCTTCGTAAAGTGTGGGCTGTACTTGTCAGAAAATTTTTTTGCATCTCCTTGAGGCATGGACTTTCAGGAATCCCTTCAATTAGTCTACTGCAATCTTTTCCAACCATTCCTAGGGCTCCAACTACAACAGGGATTGTTGATGTTCCCATATGCCACATTTTCGAGATTTCTATTTCAAGGTCCTTGTATTTTGACAGCTTTTTGAATATCTTCAAAGATACATTGCAGTCAGCAGGGACTGCCATATCAACAAGGATATTATTATTATTATTATTATTATTATTATTATTATTATACAAGTATATTAAAATTCTTTTATACACATTTTAAAATAGCGTCTCCTGTGGCGAAAGATTTTTTATTTAATGCGATTTGTTTGTATAATAAATGACTTTTTTAAGTACGAAATCGAATTTTGCTATCATCCACTAAATATTTGTCTCTTCTGTTGATAGTTTTATTTTCATTGTTTTTGATGTGATTATCGATCTGCGTATGAAGTGCATTAAGTTCCCACTAGTAAAACTACGAGAGAGTGTGGTTCACGGGTGGCCAATTTAAGAATTTCATTTTCTTTTATTAATGATATTGGAAATGCAACAGATTAGGAGGTATTTTTGAGGTTCCAAGTTATTGGCAATAATTAAGTTAGATGTTTTGAACTTTTTATAATAAATGTTAAATCTAAAGTATTATTGGACATTTACAGACAAATTATATTTTAATCTCTTGTAGCCAAATAGATGATTGTGCAACGGATATCGACGCTGGAGGTGGAATAGGTAATCGGAGTTCAAATTCCGGGTGAGTTTATTGCGTTTACTTTCTCACAAATACGTTTTTAAAAGGCATGAATCCATTTCTTCCACCACCCTCAGCTATGAACTAAAGAGCACAGTAGACTGTGCTATCTAGCTATGAGTGGCAACAAGTCTACGTGAAGGAATACTCCGAATTTCAAACTGTAGAGAAGGCAAATAGGAACGGCTCCACTATATTTCCTAAGAAAGCATTGCAATTCAGAGATAATATAGTAAAGGAATCTGTAAAAAGTCATGATCGCCTATGTTATGGAGGAACCAGGCGTTAACAAAAAATCATATATAAGTTAAATAGACGTATATAAACATTCTTCGATCTCACCACTTAATATTAGATTAGACTATCGATTATACGTTAACTTTCTTTTTTTTAATATTTGATTATTTGATTGAAGAACACACAAATAATTTTTCCTTTTTCTATGCCCCCTCCCATATGAGATAATTTTGGAATTTGTTGTGTAATTTATATGCACTGTTATAATAAATACATTGAGCTCTTTTTGTGAATGAGTTTTAATATTTGATATTACTAGGATCCACTTGGATTATATACCAACGGATTTATTTCCTGTACTATACACACACACACACACACACACATATATATATATATATATATATATATATATATATATATATATATATATATATATATATGATTGAGTCTTCTTTGGAGAACTATAGATGAAATTTCAGCCAATTTCAAGTTTTAATGAACAACCTTCAAAAGTGAATTGTTTAAATTCAATGCACACTCTGCTCATCGTGGCAGCATGTCCTGGGCTGGTGCACTTTATGCCATATGTAAGATGATGCTATGAATCGATGGCTTTTGAATAAGAGTTTTCCATCTCATGGATGCATGGTGGCGGTTGACTACTTCAAGAAGCTCATCCGCCTATTAATAACCCTACCCAGGCTGGTTTGAATTCAAAGTTTTCGTTCTCCTAGACTGGTTGCCTAGTCTATTTAACCCATACTGGAGGGAGAAGAAATGGAGTCATATCTTTACCAAGGTTTTTTGCGCGTAAGTGAATCTAACAAAACCGACTGGAACTCAAACTCGGTTCCCACTCCCTGATATTCCAAGCGGTCACACATCTAGGTACTGACTAGGCTCGATGTTGGTTATCTTAGGTGATCGAACCTGTTTTTCAACATGATATCACCGTTGTCTAATTCAACTCTGACCATTAACTTTATTATATATATAATAAAAATTTAATGTTTATATAGTTTTTGTTTTTTTATTCCGATGTAGTCCTAAAAGACGAAACGCATGACAAGAAAACTTTTTCCACTGTGTCATATACTTTCCCCCGATATATATTTTTATATATGAGAAACAATATTGGGAAAATATATATGCAACATAACAAATTTCAGTCCCCTGAAATCCTACAGAACGAAATGCGTCACATGAAAATTTTTACACTTTGTCATACATTCCTCCCCACCCTATATATATATATATATATATATATATATATATATATATATATATATATATATATATATATATACTATTTTAATTATTCATTAATTGGAGGAACTGAGCTTTTGCAAGACATGAAATATACTTTTTTAGTTTACTTGAAAACTATTTGTTACCATTTATCGTATGACATTGTAAATATGATATATATATTTATTTGATTATTTATTAGTTTTTCTGATCATGAATCTTTTTGCTTTACAAAAAGAAAACAATCAGAACCGGATTTTCCTGGCATTTCCGCTTTTATGGAAAATGTCAAAAACTGAATTAGTTTAACATTTACATTAAATTATTGTTTTGCATCTGATCTCAGAATGTTCACTTTCGTCATAAAATGATCGATTATATGAAAGAAAACCTGCAAAAATACCTTATAAAAGTTCCATGTTTGACACGAGAAATTTGAAAGTTTGTTTCCCTCGAAATGGCAACGCCCCCAAAATGGATTAAGCTAGACATTAAGTGCATGAATTCAAACAGCACTGATGCATCTGGCTCAATATAGGAATCAAAGAGAGCGATACTTCACAGATTCTTGATGCCTTCTTCTTTTCGGGTCACATAGCAAAGGGAGAGAGAAGGAGAGAGAAAGACAGACAGAGAGAAAGAGACTAGCATTGGGAAAGGCTGAGATTATTTAAATGGTTCATTGCTACTCTTTGACGTCATTGTTCTAAACTTCTCTTCCTATTTCAGAAACCTTCAGTATTCGAACTCCTGATAATCTCCATTGATCATCTAATCCGTTTGCGTAATCTTACCTGAGATGCCAGAATCTACCACTTCTCATCGGCTGATCTGCTCACTGCCTACAGCAAAAGGGTTATTTATCTGGATCACTGATTCACTTCTTGTGTTAATATGAAACTGTATATTTTCAAATAATAAAAGTTGGGTAGGAGGTGTGCATATCAGAATAACTCTTCGATGATAATATAGGTTTTCCTTTCAACGATTTGCTTTTTTACAGTTTATCTACACTTTCTGGTCGATTTAAAACTGGGATATAGTTTGGATTGAAAGAATAATTATTTTTCCTCATCGTAACAATGATTTTTACAGATAAAAGTCCTAATATTTAATCCATAGCTGGAGGAGGAGATAGATTCATACCATTTCCCAGAATAATTGTAAGTGAAACCGACCGCTGATTCGGATAGAATCTTCGATTTCCCCTTCCAAGACGCTATCCTTTACACCACCCACATATCATCCTTTTTACTGTATATAGAGATTATCTCATAGCAGATAGATGTATATAGAGATTATCTCATAGCAGATAGATAATGTGGGAATAGATATTCCCGCTTGTTTCCTTTCTCGACGAGCCACACTATATGACTTACAGTCATAGATTTATAACCGCTTAGTCTCTAGGCTAGCATGTTCAGAAGAAAGGCGGAACATCGAGGAGAAAAGATGAAACCTTTCCGGGAAATGCGGCCTCTCCGTCTGAGAATTCCCTCCACAAGGCATTGTGTTTTTATGTTACCCATTTCTAGCTTTAGATTTGTGTTTTTTGAATGATTTAAACGCAAATCTATTAGCTCATAATAATAATAAAAAAAATACTTCCGATATGATAATAGAAGTACGTTTCTGGCAGATAATGTCACATGAATAACAGACAGCATACGTATTACTTTAGGGATAACTTTTTTCTTCAAAATCTAACCACTTAGATACGCTCTTAATCCCTGAAACAGGTTATTTTTTCTGATTTCTTAGCAGATATTCATTTTGTATATATGCAAGTGTAGATTTATATGTGGATGTCTATATATGGAACATATGGGTGTCTTGTTACGAAGAAAAATGAGTCATGATGAATTACATGATTCATCATTTTATATTCGTTTTTATTGTTATATTTACTGAGATTTATTTGGGGCGGAGGCAGCCTGTACGAGTGGTTTTCTCTTAATGATAATTAGGATACCCTGGCTATTTATTCGGAAATGGAAGTAGATATGATTTCAAGCAGTAATAAAATTCGACTGTAAATATTCATCTGAATAGGTCTAAGCATATTAGGTGTGCGTACATATATATATATATATATATATATATATATATATATATATATATATATATATAATTAGTCATTGAAGTCAACACCCGGAGGTGACATTCTGTTTCATGCTTGAACGCAATCTTAGCCTGACGATTGCGCTCAAGCATGAAACAGAATATCACTTCTGGGTGTTGACTTCAATGTCCACTTTCATATTTACATATGCTCTATCCCTTATATTGAACACTTTAATCCATAAATAGAGCATACCATAAACTATATTTTATCATACAAATATATATATATATTTATATACATATATTTACATACATACATAATACATGTGAGTGTGTATACAATAATTATATGCATGCAAATTCAAAATAGCTAATCCAAAATACCTAATTCACCTGAATTAAGGGCCTTTACTTTAATCATCCACAATCCTTTTTACTGTTCACTGAAAGCAGGTTCAGATATAGAGTTTATCATTTTCATTCGCATCTCATGTAGCTATAAAAATTCCTAAAAACAATAAATTGTTCTATTTCTCAATCAGTCTTCCATATTTTAATTAATGTGAATAAATTATTGATTCTTTTGATAGTTGAATTTATATATTCGCTTTGATAACAAAATTTGTTAATTTTTTTTTTATCTTATCTCGCAAGTTTAGAAACGAATTCACTTTTCGTCAGTGAATCTTCTGATCGCTGCCCAAAGTGAGTGGAAGAGCAACTGATACACAAAGTTATTTTGACTATTGTTTTAATGATTTGATATTTTAAAAGAAAGAAATCATTATAAAAAAGAAAGAAATGAAAGTGGAAAGAAAGAAAGAACGAAAGAAATTCGAAATTAAAAAGAAAGACATAAAAAGAATAAGCAAGAAAAAAAATGATAAAAGAAATGAAAATAGAAAGAAATGAAGGCGAAAAGAAAGAAAGAATGAGTGAATGAAAGAAAGAAAGAAGCTAATCAAATAGAGATGAAAGAAAAAAGTAAATTGACAAAAAACTGGAAAAAGAAGGCAAATATCCAGAACAGTAGCGTGTATGTCTGCATGTAGCTGTTATCGTCTGTTGGTGAGAAGAGAAAGCAGTGAAAATCATTTTAATGGCGGCAACATTCCAAAAATCTAAAAAAAAAAAATGGTAAAAAAATAAAACTGAACGAGATAAGTTTTCCTGTTGGCCTAGAAATAAAAATGCGTACATTCTTTTGTCTTTGCCCTACCCGTGTAAAACACACACACACACAAATAACAAGTTTAATATGCGCACATGAACAAATGCGTGTTACTGTTTCTTTGCCCAACTCTATGCACATCACACATTATATATGTAAGAAAGGGTGCCGAAAAATACTCTCGTGTGTGTGTGTGTGTGTGTGTGTGTGTGTGTGTGTGTGTGTGTGTGTGTGTGTGTGTGTGTGTGTGTGCCTACCACACACCCGGTGTTAATTATGTAAGCAACGTCAAACTTATTTTAATTACACAAATGCTGCCTGGTAAGACATAAACGCCAGATTGCTTGTTGTTAGATATCCGCGTGTAGAGACATTTTAAGATCAAACAATCAAGCGATAGTGACATAAAAAATAATTACAAGCTTCTACACATTGAAGCACGGATAAAAAAAAAAATAAAGAATGATACGCATACATTGAAATGCTGCCAATTCGCTTCAAGATTTCCTTATATCTGGAGCCTGCTTTGAGACGGAAATAATTGTGTTTTTCCCGTAGGTGTTCAATTAAAAATATTCTGCTTATCTTGCAAGCCGTTGCTAATGATTTAATTTCTCCCTCATTTTTTAAACCACGCCAATGTGTGTTATGTCTTTCTTTCTCGGCATCACTCATTTTCCCACTGCGGTCACGTAGCTTCCCCGTACATTTTCTATAAATAATTTCACGTTAATCTTTTGGATAAACTTTCCTCTTTGGTACCTCGACATAGCAAATTTAAGCATAGTATTAGATTGGCTGATTTACTGTTGAACTCGTTAGATGTAACCGTAAAATCTATTCTGATAGTCTGGTAACAATATGACACGAACAACTGAACATGTGTAATCTATTGTGAATCCCCTTTGTTCAGGTATTTTTACCCAATGTAATTATCCAAACCTTTTTAACGTTTTGAAGCCCATTTTATTCATTCTCAAATTCCGATATGTTCCTGGACTTTATCATCCTATTCATTCATTTTTCATTCACGCCACAGATTTTCAATATAAATTCGATCAAGTGACTGCGAAGACGATGACAAGACATTCAACATTTCATTTCCATTCCATTCGGTTAAAAGCTTTGATTTGCTTTTGGGATCGTTGTCTAATCATGTGGCGAATTCATGGCGAACTTTTCTGGTTACACTTAATATCCAAATAGTTGTCTTTTTTAATAGTTTAATCTGCATAAGATGCGACATTCTAATATTTTGCCCTAGCGTTTATAACCATAGCATAATTGAACGGTGTTTTCGAAAAATAACTTTTTGTTTGATTAGATGGCTGAACACTTTATCGCAAAATGTTTTATATTTGTTTAAATATCCTTTAGCAAAATTTAATCTGTCAATTGAACTAGGCGCAATAAACGTGTCTGCTTTGTTTTATGTCTAGTCACTCTGTCATTGTGTAAAATATTCTATGCTAGACGCTAACATTGGCGTCGTATAATTTCAGATTATTCCTCACGTCTTACCTTAACATCTGTGAATCTTTACTGACGTCCATGACTATCTTGCGCATAAGTATAAGTGAAACTTCACAAGGACGAAAAACTATTGGGATCTTTTTTCAAGTTATTAGTCATCTTCAATTTCTTTATTACGGACTGTACCATCGATTTAGTATCACTCTTTGCAAATCATACCCACACCTTTCCTGCTATGTGATTAGAAACAATTAACAGCTTTAAATCGACACTGAGTTCGTTTTGTCTTCACCATCATGGAACAAGTTCAAAACAATTGCAGTATGAATAATCGGATACTTCCAAGTCGGGGTTCGAAAGTGTAATCTTGCATATTGGCAACGATCAAATGAGTTATCTGAAAGCGTCAAATGATTTTATGAAGATGCAAAATAAATATTTGCCTATTTTACAATGACTTATATAAACCACATTTATACTTTTGTTACATAACTGCCTAATCAGCATACTTACTTCATGTACTGTGTGTATTATTGCGTATGTTGCATCTCAATTGTTATGGTCTAATTTTAACTTACTAGACTCCATATTATTACTAGAATCCATATTAAGAAAGTTTTCTGATTAAAATATTTCATACTGTACGAATATTTACTACTTCTGTTACATACTGATGTAAAAAGTAAATAGAAAAAGATTTTAAGTTATTTTTCAAAAGTCTATTGCTTTTCATTTGTTATAACAGATCAGAAAACTAATTTTTCTGTTAATTTCATATTAATCAATGTCAGCAACAAGAAAAATCAGATTTTGAATATACAAACTCAAAATATCAAGAAATTTTCCACCACATTATTGAAAAGAAAAAAAAAGTTTACGACTTCCATATTCACACGGCAAATTTCAAATCATTCCGTTCAGTTATTGAATCATTAATTCCGGTTCCTATATAAATCAAAATGTCAACTTCTTTTGCCGGAAGAAACCTGACCAACGGTTTTCACGGACATTTTTTTTCTTTTTATTAAGGGAGGAAATTTGGCTTTTTGCCTAAAAGTCCACAATTCCTCGTTTATCTTTGTGAATGAAAAAGAGTTTTTGAAATGGAATATATCCTGAATATTTATTATGTTTGAAATACATGTTCATGTGAAGGAAACAACTGTTTTTTCGTGACTGGTACGTCTAATTATTGATAGGTTTAATTATTAAATATAATGTGATTTGTTTGTAGATTTGTAACTTAATTCAATGCCGGATTCAGTAAATGTAAAGTATTTTAACTTTAGTATCATTCTTCTCTGTATTTCAACCTCAGTATACGTGCACACAAATATAATAGATAGATAGATAGATAGATAGATAGATAGATAGATAGATAGATAGATAGATAGATATTAGTAGTAATATTATAAGTATAAGAAAACCTTCGGTGTCTTGATTTTCAAATAATCAAACCAATACCAAAGGGAAAAAAGGTATAAAAAAGAAAGAACCAAGAACATGTACGGTAGCCTAAAATAATCGTCTAGCATCCAAGTCCAAAGCCCAAAGAAAAAAAAACCGATACGAGTAGGCAAAATAACTAAATAAAGTGCTCAATACAGTAAGTAGAGCAGACCTAGTTAAACCTAGAGAGCCAGACAAACCTACCAATGTTTCACCTAAGCGGATCGTCAGGGAAGGCTGGCTAAAAAGGTAAAAAAGAACGGAATACTTATAGTCAATAAACAAAAAATCATAACCTTGGTAGGTTTGTCTGACTCTCTAGGATTAACTAATTATACATATATATATATATATATATATATATATATATATCGGACTTAGGATTAGATAGTTGTGTCATCAGCATAGATACTGAGTAGGGTACTGATAGCATCGAAAATGTCGTTGTTAAAGATAAGAAACAATGTCGTCGATTCAGGTATAAAGCCCTGGGGGTGGTCACACGTATTAATGTGAAAGGAACTAGAAGAGTGCTCGTTCAACACGATTTGTTAAGAAAGATTGGATCAGATGAAAAAAATTCAAGCGGAAACACCATAGCCATTCAGCTTGTAAAGAAGACAAACACGCCGTACTCTGTCAAAGCCTTTGTCATATCTAACGCAACAGGCTGAGCTTGGCCCTTCCTATCTTGCGCTTGACAGGGCGTCACACTGTCGAGCATATGTGAGATGTGGAAGCTGTTCAAAGTCACCTTTGATAATGGAGAAGCAGCAATTCCTTTCACTTTTCACTTTTCTTCTATAAAAGAAAATTCTCAATTTTTTCAAATGTTGACTTGCTGTGAAAAAACTTTTCTTGACAACTTGCATTATAAAGTTCAACCAACTGTCTACACCGGAGAATTACTTATGATCTCACGATACGTGTTCGATGCGAATGTGTGTGTGTGTGTGTGTGTGTGTGTGTGTGTGTGTGTGTGTGTGTGTGTGTGTGTGTGACGGAGAGAGAGAGAGAAACATACAGAAACAGACAGAAGGAGAAGACAGGGAGAGTAAACGTGAGATAGAAATAGAAAGAGATAAATATAAAGGGAGAGGAGAAATAGAAATAGATACTCTGTAAGAAAGGATCGGAAAGAAAAAAAGAAAGAGAAACAGACGCATAAAGAGAGAGATATAAACAAACAGACGAGCAGAGGTAGAGAGAAAATGAGATGCTTTTCATTTTCCCAATGGATCTATAAGCAAAAAAATCTTCTTTTTTTGATCATCACATAATATTAATAAACATGAATGTCCATAGGCTTCAGTTCCTTATAGTAAGGTTTAAGTTTTTGTCAAAAGAACTCAATTTTTATAATGAAAATATGAACGCTCTGAATTTTAATGATTACATATATATTGATAAATATGAGACTTTTTTAGGAAAAGTTCTAAATGACAACTGCTGCTTAACTGTCATAGCACACGTACATAGATAGATAGATAGATAGATAGATAGATAGATAGATAGATAGATAGATAGATAGATAGATACGAACAGGCTGAGATAGATAGACTCTATGTACTAGAAACAATACAGAAAATTGTACATTCATGGTGATTTTAAGGCGATCTCAAGTATTTTTGATCGCTACTGCTCCTTTGATGGTAAGAAGACGATACCCTTTGAAACAAATCTCAAATAGCAATGGGGAAGTCGTGTTTTTTTGTTATTCAAGAAGATATTCCATACTAAAAACATGATTTGATCATTCCATGAAACAGTGGATCACATTAGGAAAAGCCCAGAATACGTAACCAAAAAGATTATTGATTTCAGCATCTCGGACTTTTGGATTAGGCAGTTTTTGACAGATGTTCGAATATACCATTCTGCCTTTAATTCTGATCACAGATTACTTGTAACTGACAAGACCAGCCAACAAAATAACTTGCTTCTGCTAACATAACCCACGAAAAATACCTATGTACAACATCTAAGCCCTTAAAATGATAGGGTGAGATAAGAATTCTGTAACAATATATTAAAATATTAATATAATATATAGTTCAAATTGATGTTTCTGAATCTTGACTAAAACAACATACATAGAGGAATGAAATTATGTCTTTATGTTTTCATTAGCCAAAACCCTGAATGTATTTCAAGAATATCTAAACGGAAAAAGATACTTCCATGGGATGCCAATCCTAAGAGGAAAAAAATTGATGCAAGAAAATGGAAAGAAGAATATTAAACAAAGAAAAGAAAATAATTAGTTAATGCTGTAAGAAAAAAATATACAGGAAAATTGGAAACGAAATTAATGAAGCCAAACAGTGTAGTAGATAGTTGAAATGGGGAGCAAATTGAAAAATCACAATATTATCATACACTCGAAATGAACACAGAAGGTCTCAAAAACATTTTAAATCAATGACCACACTAAAGTTGGCTGAGAAAATAGAATATATACCAATATACATCGAATCATTACAAAATATGTCTCCAAACATAAACAATAACGAATCTAATGATGAGGAAGTTAAGAAAGCTATTTTTAAAAAAAAACTAATAATAAACCATCATTTGACACTGAGATTGAACTTTTAAAAATTGTTTACTTCTCCCTGAATTCAGTAGCAATTTAAGAAGTGTGAAATTAGAAATACCTCCCCAAAAAATGCTATTTATCCAACATTAGTGCGCTATGGAAACAAAAAAATAAATCCCACGAACATACAGAAGCCATTCGGGTTTTATAGGTGAAAACCCTGTACAGCAATGACATTGTTCTCCCTGTATCTTAGATAGTTTCTATGGAAATAAATATGAGTCAGTATTTTCGGAACAACCCTTGTATTTATACGTTTATTTCTATACAGAACAATCTGCTCTTCCACAAAAAGATAAAATTCATTGTTTTATGAGAGGTTCAACAAGATTATATATATATATATATATATATATATATATATATATATATATATATATATATATATAATTATTTTTTTCAATATACGCATTCATATATTTTTTTTAAATTAATTATAATATAATATTATGATCTACTGTGTATCGAGCACTGTTTTTAAAAATAAATGTAAAAGAAATCTGTAATTATAAATCTGACTTTTCTTTCTTTTCATATATATATATATATATATATATATATATATATATATATATATATATATATATATATATATATATATATACAGCAAGGTTTAGTTGAAGACTATATATATATATATATATATATATATATATATATACAACAAGGTTTAGTTGAAGACTATATATATATATATATATATATATATATATATATATATATATATATATATATATATATACATATAAATATATATATATAAATATATATATATAAAATTTATATATAATTATATATATATATATATATATAAATATATATATATATATATATATATGGGGTGCATTTTGGCAGCATGTTTTCACTGAGACATGTTCCACTGAATAATTCAGGAAAGTTTTGCGTACTGATTTTCAATTAGTTCTTTTCATATTCATGGATACATATATATATATATATACATGTCAACTTAGCTTCCCTTTATGCTGAAATTCTCTTCGCCAACGTCTCACTCGACGAAACAATAGATAATCTATGACCGTGTTTACGGACACACTTGAATCCCTCCTCCCAAAATTAAACCTGAAATTCTCCGTAAATTATTCCATACATGCACAACAAAAGCTACTTTTTACAACCACAAAGGGAATATCTACCCTTAATGGTGTTAAGAATGTTCAACGCACTTGTTCATATGTTCACCAAATATTATGTTGTTGAAATTACTAAGTTTAAAAAAAAATGACTAAAACAAATATCTACTCCCAGTACGCAGACAATAATTCTTTTACTAGCAGAAAATATCAATGAAATTGAAAGCCTAAAATCTACCTTCAGCACGAAAATTCACATCCGAACTTAGCGATAACAATAAAATTCCATTCTTGAATGTTTACGTAGAATACTTAACCTCATTTTCTATAAAAGAAAAGAAGAAAAGAAAAGTTCTAACCAAAAACTTGTGCCTTCGAAATTATAAAAGTTAATGCCTACAGCGATAGTGGAAAACAGTTATTAAAAAAAAGTCTTAATCGAACACAATCTAACCGCGTCTTTCCGGAAAATACTTTTCAGTAAACGTAAACGAATAAAACAAACATTAGTTAATAATAATTTCCCCAACTACATTATTGATAACAAACGGATAAAAACTGATAATAAAACTGATCCTACAAAAATATCACAAACTCTGAAAAAATTAAGCAAAACAGCAAATATCTTTCACTGCAACCAGATATTATAAACAAGATGAATTCGTCATATGACTTGAATTTAAACAATGTTTTTCACTTGCAGATCCAACTAAAAGCGTAAATCTCATCATATACTACGGAAAATTACAAATATCTAACCTAATAGTCAACACACGTCTATGAGACTTCAAACCACTATTCTCGTTTACAACTAGATGATAAATAAACAATGAAGTGGCACTTTTTGTTGTTGTTGTTGTTGTTGTTTAACCCCTGTATTGTATTACTGTAATAAATGTGATAGTTTGGGCCTAGTAGTTTGCTACGATTTATGGAGGTTTCGTAGAAGGCTGCTGTGTAAACTGTATTCTCTAAGTAAGCTTAATTTCCTGTTTAATCCTTTGTCATGTGATTCTATTTTGAAAATGTATTTTAACTCGGACATACGTGGTTCTTGTTGGCACATAAACGAAGACGCTAAAAGCACGCATCTGATGTTATCAATGCTGTGATACGGTTGGTTGAAATGTGCAGCGACAGGTAAATTGCTCTTGTTGTCTTTGATGTTTTTTTTACGGTTATTGAACCGAAAACGGAATTTCGTGCCTATTTCTCTGACATAATTCCTCTTTTTGCATTTGCTGCACAAAAGTAAATATATAATATTTGAACTGTCACAAGTCAAAGTCGGTGGTCTAATAACTGTGTGTGTGTGTGTGTGTGTGTGTGTGTGTGTGTGTGTGTGTGTGTGTGTGTGTGTGTGTGTGTGCCCTGAGGGTGTAAAAATACTATCAGTGATGACATATTTACAAACGTGGCATCGAGTTTTATTGCAGGTGAAGTTTCCTTGGAGTGGTGGTGATTTATGTCTGCTAGAAGTTGTTAGAAGTGTGTGTAGGTTGTAGGTTGACTGCTGGCGTTGAGTGGCTTCTCACTAAATATCACTTTTAATTGTGTGGTTGAGTTTTATCTACTGGAAATATTTCAATAAGATATGAAAAAGTTTGAAAATATTGACATTGAAATCAAAAACCATGAGAATTCTGGAATTATTCCTTTTTGTGTCGTAGGTTAGAAGAGGATTTCTATTTAATTTGGAAGCCTTAGTGATTGGCTTTTTGATAGTTTTAAGTGGGTAATTGAGAAAGTAATTGAAAGGATGTCCTAGGTGTCTTTTTGTAATCCCCATTTTTAGAACATACGTTTTATGGGTAAACATTGCTTGTAGATTATTGATTTTTAGGTTCGTAAGGTGGCAGCTGTTACAATTTAGGTAGCAATGACCATCTGTACGTTTGATATATAGTGTTGGGGAGATGTTGTTGGTTTTTAGATGTACCAGTACATCCACAAACGGAATGAAAGTGGTGGAATATTCCATTGTGAGTTTGATGGTGTAGATTGTTGATGTATTGTTTTAAACGTTGGAGAGAGTTTTCAACATATATCCCTATAAGTAAGATATCGTCTATGTATCTATGGTAGTGGATGGGTGCTAGATGGTATCTGAATAACATCTCGTGCCATATATATATGTATGTATGTATGTATGTATAAGTGGGCATTGAGGCCAACACCCAACGGCTACACTCTGTTTCCTGCTTCACAATCTTCAGAACATGCATGTTGTGTTTTAACTGGGCTAATTATATATGCTAGTCAATAGTGCATTGATCTAGACTTATCAATAAAAGCAAAAGTGCTCAATATTCGAGATAGAGCGTATATAAATATAGTGGACACTGAGATCAACACCATACTTCAATCGCATCGGGTAAACTGTAACAGTTATTTCAAATTACGCTGTGGGTGCGAATATGGTTTTGTGTCTATTAAGTTTGTCAATTTATCTCTTCAAATTGTGAATGATCCTTTACAAAAAAAGGCATTTGTTGATATACGAAATTTCCGAAAATTTTATAACCGCTGTTATAAATTTTATAACAAGCTTTATATGACTGTCGTTTTGCGTAGGATCATTCGCAATTTGAAGGAGAATATTGACTCAATAGACATAAAATTTCTATATCAAGTTTACATATAACTTTTGCACTAAATGCATTACTTACAATATATATATATATATATATATATATATATATATATATATATATATATATATATATACTGTAGACTTTTAAGTTGTTATGTTAAAGATAAAAATGGAGGCAAATAAAATGTTTCCCGTCATTAGATGTTTTTTTTCCCAGACAGGAAAACATGCTGTACAAGCTGCAAAACATGTGTACCTCTTCTAAAGATGGCACCATAGCTGATTTTACTGTTCATACGTAATTCAGAAGTAGACATTTTGATCTGGAATACCACGAACATTCCAGCATGCCTGCAAACGTTGATAATGACCAAAATGAAACGCCGATTAAAATTCATCCAGGTAACAAGACATGATACATCGCAGAAACACATATCTCATATGAACGCTTTAAGCTATTTGAAAACACTTGGATACATGAATAGATGCAATAATTGGCTGTCTCACGATTTAACGGGATGTATTTAATGGACAGCATTTCATTCTACGATTTCCTGCTCAAAAGCAAACTAGAGAAATCGAAATGAGCCAACGTTAGCAACCCCAAAAGAGGGAATTCAGCCGAATAAAATGATACTCTGTATCAGATAGGCTTAGAAGAGCATTGTGTATTACGAGCTCTTTCTAAAAAAATCATACGTCGAATTCAGACAAGTACTGTCGCTAAATGGTTCAGCAAGCGATGAAAGGTGCCTGGACATGGCCAATTGGAAGAGTGTCTCCTTTAACATCAAACATAACATTTGATTTCACATCTTTTTTATAGACCAGGCAACTTGGCTTGAGTTTCATATTCCAACAACCATTCCCAAATGATACTGACACTTCAGATTATTACATTTCAATTCCTCACGAAATTCTCTTAATGTGTAGGACTTCAGTTCTATGAAAGCCTGTAAAAATCACTTAGACCAGATCCTCACTCACAAAGATGCCAATTTCTGGGAGAATGGAATGATGAAAATGTCTCAAAAATGGTGAAATATCATGGAACAAAATGGCATACATTTGGTTGAATAAATCTATGTACAAATATCTGAATATTGTCTTTGAAATTCACTTAAAAACGAAACTAAATTATATTCCAACCCCATATAAATTCAGGAATGTGTGCATGTGTAATTTTTTTTAAACATCTATGCAGATGCATATGTAAATAACAAGAATAGAGAAATGGAGAGACAGGGACGAGATATTGTATTTTGATATTTGCATGTATATGTAATGATGGTGAAAATGCACCTGCGGGTTAATGCGTATATTTGAGCATGTAAATAGAAATATATTATAGATGCATAAGCGCAAGTGTGCAAATGAATGTGAAAGTCAATACATAGATATTTAAATATTTGTCTAGTGATATCAATATCGATATTTGAGTGCATATCAAAGGTCTTCGAGTAAAAACTACAAAATCCCATTTTTCCTAAATCCCTCCTCCATTTGGAATTGTCAGTTCCTAATTTTTCCTCACTCTGTTTTTCATTGGTAATTTTTTTTTTAATCGATAAAACCATCTACTTTCAATTTACTTGGACTTTAGTGGAAACGGGCAAGCAATAACTAAACAGTACTAAAAATAAGAACGAGAGACGATAGAAAGCTTAGACGTCGGCAGTAGAACGAGAAGACTCTGCCTCCGTAGATTAAATAAAGGGTTCAGTTAAGAATTCCCTGCAGGTTCCACAGATCGATACACACCTGAGGAATGCTGGAGGGCACAATGGCAGAGACGCTGTGATAACAACAAGAATGAGGACAATAGTCCGAATATAAATAGTGTAAATAATGATAATTCCACTTCCCAGAAATTCAGACAGATATTAGTTTTTATTTTTTTATATTAAACTAAATTTAAGAGACTTAATAGTCACCCAACTCAGTACCTTTTATGCACTGACATTATATTTAGAGTAAAAATATCAGAAGCACTCTGCAAGTTTTGATGACGTCAAGTCCCTCAGAGAATAAACAACTCATGACGTCATGCGCAACGCTAGTATTAATTAAAAACAGCAAAAAGAAACAAAATAAAGATCGGGTGACATGAACGAAAAAAATAGTTCTGCGAATTCCAGATGTCTTGTGCTATAAAAGATATTCTGTGAAAAATGTAGACAGTCTTCTTGCTTTCATCCAAAACTTGGCCGCCGTGAAATTGTATTTAAACTATTGACCGTTTTGATTGAACAAAGCCTTGACTCCTCGCCATTGGATTCGTTAAGGACATAAATTTCGTTTCTATTTTTGTCTGGGAAGGAAAAGAATTTCTATTCATTAATTGAATCAAGAAATACTCCGAACAAATATCTAATTTGGTCTTGTTAATTTTTATTTGATTTTATCAATATACCCCGGTTACTTCCTCTGATTACGCCAAGTGATGTGAGGTAGGCAACAATTCTTGATTTCATCCAATTTTCCAATTTCAGCAATGAGCAAAAGAATGTAGTCGAAAATTAAAGACAAACGATTTCATGTAATTTTTTAAAAGTTTCTAAATATAGCTACTGACAAATAGAAGTCAAAAATTGAAGTAAAGGCTCCCAGGTTTAATGGCCGGGTTTCTTTTTAAAAACAAAAACAAAAAAAAACATAATAAATTAGAAACTGTCTTTAAACATTGATGGCGAAGTCGCCTGTCGTAGAGTAAAATAACTTGTAAACTAATCTCACATACTATTTATTCCCTGGTGGATGCGATTCTTACTCCACGCCATACCGCTTTGTCTCTAGACCAAAATAATCTAAACTTAGACGATGTTTCCATTGCCTACTGTAAAGACTAAGCAACGCTAAAATTACTTCATGCCATACCTACCCATGTATACGTCGAGAAATAAGAACAAATTTTATTGAAAGATTTGTGTCCAACATATAATCTAGGCTAATAGTTTTAATAGATTAAAATCCCAGACTGGAAAAGTTCGGAGTAACTCATAGCTTGAGACATAAGTAAATATAAACGATATGAATTAATGAAAAGTGCTTAATTGTTCCAACTTAGGAGAAGAACTTTTATCACTGAGTGTGTGATAGAACAGTCTAGTGATAAGAAGTAAAAACACTTTGCAATTTATTGCATAAACATCATATCATTCTTTTCAAATTCATATCAATGTTTACACCGATGCACCATGTGAGATTCAGGCGTTGAGTTCAGCTAGCACTGCCGTTAGGGCAAATCTCCTGTGAAAAGTGGCACCAACTTTCCGGGACTTTGTTAACCATATTTGTCGTTTGTTAGGTCATAAAAAATAAATTCGATTTGTGCAGGAGGAATTTTAAGAAATAAAAATCCTTTTCACTTTGGTTAATTCTAATTTTTTAATAAATATGTCTATACTGGTTCATTCCAGGATTATTCATAACTGAATTATTTTTGTTGGGTGTGGCTGTATTGAATATAGTGAGTGTTGCAAAATGTCCTAATTCTACTCAATGGGGTTTAAATCTGGTGAGTGTTGATGCATGTATGTCACGTGAGTATTCCTGTAATCAGTTTCACGCCACTCACGTACATTGGGGTTGGAGTTAATGTTACCTCTTCTGTTTAGTAGATAGATAGATAGATAGATAGATAGATAGATAGATAGATAGATAGATAGATAGATATAAACAGCCAGTTTCATTTGAATGATTCATTTTCTACGGCTTACCAATACTTTTTAGGTTATTTAAAGCTAGAATTTTTTTTGCTAAATAACCCAATGCGCGTTAGATATAACGAGCCCAACTGGAATTACAACTCGACTCTCCGATTATCCATTACACCAAGCACACCCAGGATGGATGTAGCTTTTCTTTACTGATCGTACGGAAACCGGTGCTTCAACGTGATATGACCGTAAGAGATAGATAGATAGATAGATAGATAGATAGATAGATAGATAGATAGATAGATAGATAGATAGATAGATTATGGACATAGAAATCGCCGCTGGTACGATGTTGACTTTTCTTCATCGCAAGCGAAGATTTATATTCGGTCTTAGTCACAATAATGACAGCTTATATGTGCATTTATTTATAAAGTAAACGACAATTAGTTTGACGATACAAGTTTACTTTTCTTTATGCACTCAAACGAACACACAAATGCACACACACACACACTCACGTAGATAACCCACTTTATATATATATATATATATATATATATATATATATATATATATATATATATATATATATATATATTGAGAGAGAGAGAGAAGTTATCGTGCAATAATCTTTGACCATTAAAACTATTGTATTTTAATAATAGCCAACTTATAAGTGAATTTTTGCATCGTGTTTTTTTTTTTTTTTTTTTTTTTTTTTACCGTTAAAACATTTTGGCCTGAAATGGAATCATTTCCATGCTTACTTACTGAATGAGAAGGGATGATGTGAAACAATGCATCACCCTCCAAAGAAAATGGGCGTGGTTGCCGTTAAAAATAATCGTGGCTTTTCACACGCATCTCTATCGACAACGCTGAAGCCCATTACCCACCCTTAACTTTGATTACATCCAGTTTCGTCTCCGTAAAAATTCAACAAATCTCACTTAATATCAGTAAGTGCAGAACTTCAGTGATAAACATTTTGCATTTTGCCAGTATGCCATAGAACTGCTATTAGTAAAAAGAAAAAACAGATTCTGTTTTATTGGTAGGAAATATTACATACAAACCACCAACATCTGCCTCTCGAGTTCTGAGCCAGCGTAATGAAATAGAAGAGATTAATGTTGGAGCTACACTCAGATAGATAGATAGATAGATAGATAGATAGATTGTGGACATAAGAATCAACATCGCTTTCGTCCACATTTATCCTTGTTCTCATAGATACCTCGACAGTGTACTACTATTTTCGCTAAAAAGTTACCCTATAATTTAAAAATGTTTACTTCCAAGGTTTCACGGTTGTTTCAATATACACTATATTAAATCTGTCATCAGTGGGTAGCAAAATTCCGTGTCAATCACTTTCTAAAGTACAGCCGACTCTATTTTTACAGTTACAGAAGGGATTAGAATTAGAATTGTAATGAATTTAACCAGTTTTAGAAATATATTGTGCTTCTTCACCAACTGAAAAATGGTATCTGTATAACAATAACTGGTCTTAATGTAGTTCTAGCAAAATATCTTTTGAATTCTATAAAAATTAGACGAGTTTTTATCAATTACATTGATAAACATCTTTCACGCTTTCCTCTTTGTCGCCTTCTTAAACGAGGGATTAAATCAAGTTCTGTGGAATTTAACTCTTGTGCATTCACCTCTGTAATTCAAATCAGATGAATAGCTATTCTTTTTTAATGTCGCTGCATATTCAACTTTGGTCAAAAATTTTGGAATTCCAAATAGTCACTGATTTCAGAGCTTGGCTTTAAAACTGCAGATATTTGATTCGAGAATGCGAACCAGAAAATTAGTGCAAGAAACGTGATTAAAAGGCCTGGACCCATCTACATTTGCCTTTTTCATTGATTTAACAGCACAATTGTTAATCTCCAATCACCCTACCGACTTTAATGCAAAAGACCCCAAATAAGTGGTGTTTCAGGTCGTACATTCAGCTTTTTAAAACTTTCATACATTTTTCAATTATTTTATAGTAAACATAAAAGCAGCTTTTAGCCATGTATATCTAAAATTCTTTTAGGAATAAAAAATAGAAAAATTTCTTAACCGAAAATAGAAACTAAAGTTTCAAGGAGATTGCCATGTCTGTCGTGTATATTATTAATTTGTGTTTTTAATTTAAATCATTCAATAGTATCCCAATAGTTTGTTCTTGTGTTTGACTAATGATTGTAAATGTCCGAGAATAGTCAACTATTAATAGCGAAGCCTTTTTATTTTTCTTGTAATAATAAAAAGTCAGTGATTGGTGTCATTCGTCAAAGATATTCAAATTTATAACGGCGCGTCCATGTTACACATATTTATAGAGCTTTCGAGATGTTGAGGGAGGCATGGTTATGGTTGTTGCCGTTCAGTTTGAATTCTAGGATCAAAGAAGAAGATAAAAGCTATAAGAAAAGTTTCAAGATGACATGGGGCAAAGGTATGAGCAGCTTTTTTTAGGTCGCTATCGCTTGCTGTCTTCGTTACCTGAGATGTTAAAAGTAAATGCGTCATCGTGAAACAGAAGATGAGTGGGCAGAATGGAAAGAGAAGGAGGAAGAGGAAGAAATGGGAAAGGAATGATTTAATGAGGCGGAACAACGAAATGTCTTGACAGCCTAGTCGACATCACGCACGGGCGCCTAACATCATTGTAACATGATAATTACGCCAATGGTCGGTGTGTGAATCTAAGATGATAAGTTGTAACGGTAATATTAACCATTTCCTTATAAGGAAACTTTCGACATTCATTGACCAAGTAGATACTTTCGGTTGAAATTTATAAAATCTTTTTTGTACTGATGTGGTTTCCTTCCTAACTTTTTATATGAAGTAATATGGAACGTTAACTTATTGATTATGTCATTATTTTATTTTCTAGTTCCATGCGCGATCGATTTTATTTGTTGCTGCTGTTGAATGTTATCAAATGATGTAGTTTGTTTTATCTGTTATTATTTTGTTTTTTATTCTGTCGCTGCATCAGCTGACGAGCTGCGAAGAAGAATAGTACTCGCTACAACCTATCGCCATTTCTAACCTTTGATTTGAGAAAGCGCTTGTCTATAAACGAGTTTATCGCCATACATGACATCCAATGAAAGTCTCGTTTCGACGCGAGGCTATTTAAGAATACCACTCGTGTTTTTAATATGTTAATGTTTTGGTTTTGTATTAATGTTGTAGTGTTGAGTGAAATAACCATTAGCCTAGCGTATTTTAGGTTCAATTTCATTATCCTATACATTTCTTAAAAGTGATCCATGTTGATTTCCAACATTCAAAATTAGCGCAACACCATCTTCATACTCTCTGTTTTCACTATTTTTCTATTTTGTCTGATACAAAAATAAGGTAAGCTTGTATGAATCCACAGACACATGCTCACATTTATAGATTAACTTCCATTTGATCAGTTTATCGGATACACGTAAATATTTGCATAAATATATACTATATATATATTATTTTAATATATATATATATATATATATATATATATATTTGTTTGAATAAAAGACAGACCACGTTAAGATTCCATGTAATAAGCTATTTCACCATAACCCCTTTAACAGGGTTCTGGATCATCAGACTTTACTTCCAAAAGCTGAAATGAAAAATGAAAAGAAAATCCCACGGTTTTTTCGGACCTCATCAAGTATACGTAAAGTTAACGAAGTGAGGAAGTGAGGTGGGGGAGAGGATATGAGTGTGTCATATGTATCATTTTAGTTTCCTATTTTAACCCCAGTGTGTCGGCTAGATGTTGCTCAAATTTAACGTCTCGTCTCTAGATATAGATGGCTAAGGGGTGAATGATAAGAACGACATTAAAGGAAGAAGTTACAACAACCCCAATAAATTACGACAGGTTTCATTCAAATTCTTAGACGCTGTCAGTTCGCGTTACTTTAACGTGCATATTTGGGAGGTTAAGGTTTGATAAATATCTAAATGTTAAAACAATCTACGAAGAAATTAATTTGAAATTCGGTGGAGTTTTGGGTATTTTCTATGAAACAATCGATTGGAAAAATCCATAGACAGAACATTGAAAGAGCAATCCATTTTATATTTAGTAATTTTTTTTTTTCTAAAACTTTTATCTTATAGCTTGTTAGGTTGACATCTATTCGTTTGATTTTTGTTCATTAAGTAAACTCGTGATTGTTTTTGATTTTTGTTCATTAAGTAAACTCGCGATTGTTTTTATGTACCCAATTATCAACGGTTATTCCCATTTAAATAATTTTATTCCCCACACTGGGGTAGTATCTTTCAATCTCAATTAAAATACCAATCTAAATTTTCCCTTCATGCTATTTAAAATTCACTTCCAATTGGAGAATATTAGAGGAGATATTTGGAAGAGATGTCACGAGCAGAAAATTAGGTCCTCTTTTACAATTTTTTATCTACACATGTCTTAAACCCTTATTTGTAACCACATACCTATATCTTCTTATATTTTTATGAGTTCCTATATACACCTACACACACATATTCACACGAAACGACCATATGTATATTTCCATCTTTACACATATACACCTGCAGAGAAAACGCACATCCACATGTCTCCATACCTATCTCCATATATACTTATACTTACATATATAGATATACATACAAGGACATCTGTATATCCATATATATTCATACGCACATATATATATTTACACACCTATATGTATACACACATACACATACATACACACACACATATATGCATACATACATACACATGTACATATACATACACACATACATGCATATGCATATGCAATATGCAGCATATCTACATACCCACATATGCGTTAATTTGCACTAACATATCTACACACGTATTTGTCCCTATCCTCATGTCCACCCGTGCATCCACTTATGCCTGCGTTCGAAGACTATCTCAGTCTTTAATTACATTATCTATCTCTTTACACATATAATATTACCCGATCTTTCATATTTATGGCAAAACATATAAGTACCTATCTAATTGTACATCT